GAGCAGGTGGAGAAGGAGGAGAAGAAGGACATGGTCACCTTCTTTTATCAGTTAGTGTTAGTTCTGAATAGGGACCCTCTGACAAAACATTACCTTGAGTGTCATTGGTAAATTTTGCTGAGCGGAGGGGTGTCCTCTTCAGTAGATTTTGTTAAACAGGGACTGACTGGGCCCCCTGAATCTGCCAGGATATCCATGCCCCTTTGACACCCCCTAGATCTGAATATCAAATTTTGTATTTCAAAATAGATTAGAGAAATTCCAAAAGGTTGCTGTTTTCAGCATGAGAGAATGGAGTAGCACTTCCACAGCGGGCAGATAACACACTTAACACGTAAATAGTGAGAAGAGCGCTGCCAACGATATTGATTCATATTTTATTGGAGTGATAGGAACTGGTCTATCTTCGCCTTAAAATGTAAATGCAAGAAAATACGTATGTAAATAGACATCCTTAATAAATCTGTTTGGTCCAGCAGGTGGCGCTGTTGTCCGGTACCTCCCGGGCTGTGGCTGCAGATGCAGGCCTGACTGCGTGTAGGAGGCGCGCCTGTCCGCCCTCCGTTGCTATGAGCATGCTCATGCAGTCACGCACAGCTCATGGGAGCCGGGGATTCAAGGACGGTTCCTCCCGTGACAAGTGTATAAGTGGCTGTTGACAATCGATGAGTGTTGGTTTATATCGGCGGTAGGTCTTCGAAGCCCATAAGCATCACCAGGGTGACGGTCAGTAATCGCTTACGGGTCTGCTGCACTTCGGCGGGCAGATTACTGCAGCCCTGAATCAGCACGGTGCTGGTGAAATGACGACATAGTGCAGCTGGACCCGCGTTTTTATCCAGAGATAAATTCCTTTTTTTTTTTTAATCAAAACTGTATGCATGTACGTGAATATATACATGGACCTAGTAAGGGGGGGCTAGGGGCTCGTGCCCGGGTAACCTTCGGAACATCATTAAGAATGCAGTGAAATACGCAAAATTATCTGCAAATAATTTAATGCAAACCCATCAAGTGTTATCAGTAAAATTCGGAATTATATCCGTGTTTTGAAAACAAAAAACATGGCATGAATTCCCTCCACCCTGCTTTCTGATGCCTCCTATGGTCCATGAATATACAGTGAATATCACGAATATCGTCTTATGGTTCTACGACGCACCGCGATACTGCCAAACCTCACACGTTCAGGACTCTTATATGAAAGTGCCTACTTACTTTTATGCAGATGCAGCTATTCCCATCCTGTAGCCTATATACTTTAAATCATGCTTAGATTACAGTACTGTACCTATACAATGTACATTGTATGTAAAAACAGTATAGTTGTTATAATGTATTGTTTAGGGAAATATTACAAAAACATAGTACATGTATTGTACTATACATTTTTTTCTCTCTAAACAATACAATATAAACCTATTAAATCACATTATGGTACACTAAACTTAAGTATTTTTTTTCCTTCAACCACTACTGAATCCTTTAACAATGTAAAAACATAATACACAGGTCTAACTAAACCTCTGTTTTAATATATTTTAGAACCGCGATCTTAGAAGACCGCACTATCAAAAGCCGTCAGATGCGGGTTGACCGTACAAATGGCCGTAACAGCGGTGATATTTCAGACGGATCTCCGCGGCGCGGTGTCCCAGCGGGCCAGTACGTACATGTCCTTCCCACCGTACCGTCTCCAGTCTGTCTCTAACAATGAGAGTCACACGTCATCTGCAGCTTTACGGTGTAAGGTACGAAACAAGAAGCAATACAGAGCTGTTTGTTCAACTTCACCGAGTTCTCTCCGTTCCATTTATTAAATACACTTTATAAATAGCACAGAAAAACAGCAGATGACAGGCTAATGACACAGTATAGTCAACGGTGTCTTCCAGTAATTATTTTCTTTCTTTCACGTTTTTTAATTGTTATTATTTGAACTGGATAGGAATCTGAAAAACATCATTCATTGCTATAATTATGCATGGTAATTACATGCATTAGTGAAATAAAATTAAATATAGTTATCTTCTCAAACAAAATATTACTTTTTCTTTTTTTTAAAAAAATATTAAATTATCAAGCATGTTAATTTATATTTAGTGTACTTGTTGCCATTGACTGCCAAAATATAAGCGCATGCACTGATTTAAATCTCATTTAAGTCTCATCTTCAGTCCCAGTTTGCTCCAGTTTGACAGATGAGAGATAAAAAGGTACATATATATGAACCGTAATGTGTGAGCTTAAAACATCAAACACGAGAGACTGGTTTGGGCACCGTTAGGTGATGAATCAGGCAATGCTGATTATCTGTGCAAAATATCTGGGACAAAACTATATATAATATTGTGTATGGAACACCTGTAAGCAAGAAACCATGTATCTCAATCGCTAATTAAGAAAATGCTGAGAATAGATTATGTTTTTTTTATTTTTTTTTTTGGGGGGGGGGTGCCAGCCATTTAAGGCTGCATAAGTTTATCCTCTGTTACATCTCTAAGTCAGTCTGTGATTGTTCATTTCCTTTAGTCTATGCTGACCATCTTGTTAACCAGATTCAGAAGGGTATTACATCCAAGAAAACAACTGAACTGAATTAAGGCACAAATAAGTAGCTTAAAGGTCTATTTTTTGTGTGTTTTAGGAAATCGGTAATGATGTAGGTCTGTAACTACTAATAAGTTGCAAATCGTTGAGTGTATAATTCTTTTTCCATTGCTATTTTAGTATGTCTGATTGGTTGTATGTATATTTAAAGAACCAGAGGGCTAAACGTGTATAAGAAGTCCGACACAGCACAGG